CTCTGACCCACCCAGCCCTCCACTCCCCTCCCAGAGCCGGGGAGAGAACCCAGGAGTCCCGGCCACTCACCGTGGGTGCTGTCCTTGACCCAGTCATTGATGATGAAGCGAGCCCGCTCGCCCTCCGTGAAGTTGACCTGTTTGACGGTCTGGCGAAAGGCGCGGGCGAACGTCTTCATGAACCCAGGGGCCAGCCCCAGGTCACGCTGCACGAAGAGCGCATCGGCGACGTCCACCTTGTCCTGATTCTTCGGGGCCGTCAGCTCCTTGCGCAGCCACCGCAGGGCCTGAGGGATGCCCCGCTCTGCAGGGGAGGCATGGCTTGTCAGGGCAACGAAGGGTTAATGCTATGAAGGGTCCCTTGCCCAGTGTGGAGACGGGGCAGAGCAGCGGGTTACCCAGGGACCCCTTGCCCGGCGCTGAGATGCGGCCACCTCTGGGGCAGGGCAGCTGGCTACACAGGGGCCCACTAGCACCATGCTGAGGCATTTTGCCCAGCACTGACTGTTGGGGAGAGCGCCCCCTCCCCAGCCCCTTACCATGGACCCCGTACTCCATGGCTGCCTTGATCTGACTCCGGCTCTCCCCGGCGGCCGCCATCTGCAGCATGGCCAGTACAGAGGCCACCCCAAAAGGGGAGAAAGCCACGTTACGATCCGGGGACACCTTTGCCACCTCCCGGAAAACCTTCATCCCAAAGTCGGCAGAGAGCTGGGCCACGCGGGAGCCGGTGGGGTGGCGCAGAGGGTCAGCCACACACAGGAGGGCCATGCCGGCCAGAACCACTAGTGGGAGCTGCATCCTAGAGGGAGAAGGCAGGAAGGGTTAGAAAAGAGCCCAGGAGTCCTGGCTCCCAGCCTGCCCCTGCTCTAACCACCAGCCCTCACGCCCCTCCCAGAGCCAGGGAGAGAACCCAGGAGTCCTGGCTCCCAGCCCACCCTGCTCTAACCCACCAGCCCCCACTCCCCTCCCAGAGCCAGGGAGAGAACCCAGGAGTCCTGGCTCCCAGCCCCCCCCCCTCTAACCCACCAGCCCCCACTCCCCTCCCAGAGCCAGGGAGAGAACCCAGGAGTCCTGGCTCCCAGCCCCCCCCCCTCTAACCCACCAGCCCCCACTCCCCTCCCAGAGCCAGGGAGAGAACCCAGGAATCCTGGCTCCCAG